GCAGGGAGTCTACGGGAAAGTACTGTGAGGAGCTGAACGAAATGAAGGAAAAAACAAATGAATTAGAGGTTTTTACATTGATCCTTATTTGTTTACAAGTCGGAATTTAGAAGTCGTTTAATGATCTTTGAGTTCTTTTACAGGCAACGTGTTCTTCACAAAGTATCGAGCTAAGAACATTACAAAATCATCTAGCTGCTGCAGAAAACAAGCTGCAGGTTCGTAAACGACTTCAAAGACATCAAACTAGTTATTTTACGCTGAAAGCGTTTAATGTTAAGATGATCAAGTGGGTTTTGCATTTCTCGTGCTAGGTCTCTGATCTAACTGCAATGGAGACGATGCATGAATTCGAAGATCAAAAGAGGCTCGTACGTGAGTTACAACAACGACTTGCCGATGCAGAAAATAAGCTTATGGAAGGAGAGAAGCTTCGGAAAAAATTGCACAATACCATCTTGGTAATGCCCATGTTCTTGTCAACCACTGTATTGTTGATACTCACTTGGCTCTTTTGTAATACAGGAATTGAAAGGGAACATTCGTGTATTTTGTCGAGTACGACCTCTGTTACCTGATGAACGTTCTAGTCCCGAAGGAAATTTTATCTCGTATCCATCATCGGTGGAATCTCTTGGACGAGGAATTGATCTCGTGCAAAATGGTATACTTCTTATGAACAATATTCATGCCTACTGTACTGTTTTCGTATGATACGTTGCCTTCGAGCTCTCGTAATTCAATGTGATATTGAATAATGTCAGGACAAAGACATTCTTTCACATATGACAAGGTTTTCGCTCCAGAAGCAACACAAGAAGACGTCTTTGTAGAGATTTCCCAGCTTGTTCAAAGTGCCCTCGATGGATATAAGGTAATAATATAGCATCATCGAAGGATTTATTTCGATAATTTGGCCGATTTTCTTGAATAATCGGAGCAATATCTACCAACTTTTGACAAAAGAAAAAAAAAAACGAACTTGAATGGTCGATGAAATAGTTTATGAATCTGATTCGAGCACGTGTTGTAACAGCCCAAGCCCAAGCCCACCGCTAGCAGATATTGTCCTGTTTGGACTTTCCCTTTCGGGCTTCCCCTCAAGGTTTTTAAAACGCGTTTGTTAGGGAGAGGTTTCCACACCCTTATAAGAAATGCTTTGTTCTCCTCCCCAACCGACGTGGGACCTCACAATTCACCTCCCTTTAGGATCCAGTGTCCTCGCTGGCACTCGTTCCCTTTTCCAATCGATGTGGGACCCCCCAATTCACCCCCTTCGAGGCCTAGCGTCCTTGCTGGTACACCACCTCGTGTCCTCCCCCCTTCCAGGCTTAACCTCCTTGCTGGCACATCGCCCGGTGTAGCTCTGATACCATTTGTGACCGTACAAGCCTACCGCTAGTAGATATTGTCATTTTTAGGCTTTCCCTTTTGGGCTTCCCCTCAAGGTTTGTAAAACGCGTCTCCTACGGAGAGGTTTCCACACCCTTATAAAGAATGTTTCGTTTTCCTCTCTAACCGATCTGGGATCTCACAATCCATCTCCCTTCAGAGCCCAGCATCCTCGATGACACTCGTCCCCTTCTCCAATCGATGTAGAACCACCCCCTTCGGTGCCCAGTGTCCTTGCTGGTACACCGCCTCGTGTCCACCCCCTTTCAGGCTTAGCTTCCTCGCTGGCACATCGTCCGGTGTCTAGCTCTGATACCATTTGTAACAGCTCAAGCCCACCACTAGTAGATATTGTCCTCTTTGAGTTTTCTCTTTCGGGCTTCCCGTTTTTAAACGCGCCTCCTAGAGAGAAGTTTCCACACCCTTATAAAGAATGCTTCGTTCTCCTCCCCAACCGACGTGGGATCTCACATGTGCATACCAAAACTTATATTCTTCACTGTTAAAAGATTATTGTTAAAAGATTGCTTTCTGGAGGATATTAATTCAAGATAAGACAATTGAGTTATTTCATCAGACTGTTTCAAGTTCATTAGTGAATGCTATTTCTGTTAGGTTTGCATATTCGCCTACGGACAAACGAGTTCGGGAAAAACCTATACAATGATGGGTCGACCAGGGCTCCTCGAGGAGAAGGGACTGATACCTCGATCGTTGGAACAAATATTTCAAACGCGACAATCTCTTCAACTCCAGGGTTGGAAATATGAAATGCAGGTGATAAAGAAAGAACATCTATTGTATGTGTCTCTTCTGTTGTCATATTCTAGAACATTTTTGTTGAACTTCTCAACGTCTTCTAGGTATCGATGTTGGAAATATACAACGAAACGATCTATGATTTACTATCAACAAATCGAACAGCTCCAGACGTGCTACGATCAGAAAATGGTTCTCCTATAAAACCGTATGCAATCAAACACGATGCAAGTGGAAATACTCAAGTTTCGGATCTTACCATCGTGGATGTTCGTAGCGCTAGGGAGGTCTCGTTTCTATTAGAGCAAGCTTCTCGGAGCAGGTATAATAACTTTTGCATTCATATGGACTTCCACTAATGCTCTTAACCTGCAATGCACAATGCTCACTTTTTCGATGTAGCTATATATGTTCCGATTAGTATGTTATTTTCGACACAATGATGTCGGTGAGATTCCTCATCGGTTGGGGAGGAGAACGAAACATTCTTTATGAGGGTGTGGAAACCTTTCCCTAGCAGACACGTTTTAAAAACTTTGGGGGAAGTTCGAAAGGGAAAGTCCAAAGAGGAAAATATCTGCTAGCGGTGGGCTTGGGCTTGTACAAATGGTATCAGAGCCAAACACCGGGCGATGTGCTAGCGAGGAGGCTGAGCCCCGAAGTGGGGTGGACACAAGACGGTGTTTCAACAAGAACGTTGGGCTTTGAAGGGGGTGGGTTGGGGGGTCCCACATCAGCTGGAGAAGGGAACGAGTGTCAGTGAGGACGCTGGACGTTGAAGGGGGGTGGATTGTGAGATTCCACATCGGTTGAGGAGGAGAATGAAACATTCTTTATAAGGATATAGAAACCTCTCCCTAGTAGACACGATTTAAAAATGTTTATTTGGGAAGTCCGAAAAGAAAAGCCCAAAGAGGACAATATCGGTTAGCGGTGGGCTTGAACTGTTACAGTGTCGTTGCTTATTTATCATCAAGCCTCACCGCAAGTATTCCATGTTTACTTGATAGGCGTTCCTCTTAACTGCATTATATTTTTTTTTTCCCTTAGATCCGTTGGCAAAACCCAAATGAACGAGCAATCATCAAGAAGTCATTTCGTGTTCACTCTCAAAATATCCGGTATCAACGAGGTAAATTACGGTCGATCACCATTTATAATTTGAAATGGTTCCTCTACTCCAAGTTATCCATGAACTCACTCTAATGATTTTGCATTCGCTAGAGTACCGATCAACAAGTACAAGGCATTTTGAACTTAATCGATCTTGCCGGGAGCGAGCGTCTTTCCAAGAGCGGGTCAACCGGAGATCGACTGAAAGAAACCCAAGTAATTCATTGCTACTCTCATATCTTTGTTTTAAATTCCGCTCATAATCTTTTAATTTTCTTGTTTGAAATTAGGCCATAAATCGAAGTTTATCGTCTTTAAGTGATGTTATATTTGCTTTGGCGAAGAAGAAGGAACACGTTCCATTTCGAAACTCGAAGCTTACCTATCTTCTTCAGGTACTTGTTCATTCACAAGTCCGTGCTCTTAGACTGTATCTGAAATGTCATTTTCTCATATAATCGTTCTAATTCTAGCCATGTCTGGGCGGAGATTCGAAGACGTTGATGTTTGTAAATATCTCTCCTGATTCGTCCTCGGCCAGTGAGTCACTCTGCTCGCTTCGCTTTGCTGCCCGGGTTAACGCTTGTGAGATCGGTACTCCTCGACGTCTAACCAATACTCAACCTTAAGATTTATGCTCGAGCTTTGCCGAATCAATAGTGAAATATGAGAATGATTCTGACTTAGGCTTAGTTGTGTATAGCAAAAGAGATCTGATTGTATTAACGAAAGTAAGGTCTTTTTCCCCTTTTAATTATCAGATCTTGCTGCAAATTGTGGTTCTTGTTTGCCCGTCCCGATCGGTACCGTCTTGCTTTCCTCCTAGGACAAAATCCTGATAGTTGAGGTATAATTTATGATACTCACAGGATGTTGGGTCTCGAACGGGTGTGAGATTGAAAAGGGGAATACAACATTCTTTATAAGGGTGTAGAAACAGCTACGTAGGAGATGCATTTTATAACTGTGAGGTTGACAGTGAGAGCCAAAGTGGACAGTATCACCTAGTGGTGGCTCGGACTGTTACAAATAGTATTAGAACTAGACACCAAGTGGTGTGTCAGCAAGGACACCGAGCCTCGAAGAGAGGTTAGATTGTGAGATCCCACATCGGTTGGAGAAGAGAACGAGTGTCAGTGAGGACGTTGAGTCTTGAAGGGAGGTGAGATTGTGAGATCCCACATCGGTTGGATAGAGGAACAAAAGATTTTTTATAAGGGTGTGAAAACTTCTCCTTAATAGAAGTGTTTTAAAATTGTGAGGTTGACGGCGATACGTAATCCAAAGTTGACAATATCTATTAGCGGTGAGCTTAAGTTGTTACAAATAGTATCAGAGTTGGTTATTGAGCGGTGTGCAAGTGAAGACATGAGTCTCAAAGGTGTGTTGTGAGTTCTCATATCGGTTGGAAATGGAAACGAGTGTCGGCGAAAACGCTGGACTCCAAAAGGAGTAAATTATGAGATCCCTCATCGATTAGAGATGAGAACGAAACATTCTTATATAAAGGTGTGGAAGCATTTCCGTAATAGATGCGCTTTAAGATCATGAGACTAACGACAATTCGTAACGAGCTAAAACGTACAATATCTATGTCGGCCAGGAGTGAAGTTATACCTCTCTATTTTATATTTCTAAAATTTAAAAATAGAAATAAAATATAAGTTTTTTGAAATTAGAATTCAAACAAATTCCAAAAGGTCTTTTCATAGGTTCCAACGAGGGCACACATGCCAATGCGACAATAATTCGTCTCACCTCTCTGTCGATTTTCCGCCACCCGCAACCCTCCAAGAATGTTCGATGTTTGAGCCTGATCATCATTCCAGCTCTCTCTCGCTTGTCATTTTTGTTTCTACTGATGCGATGGGGCGATTGGATCACAGGAAACGAACTACCATTTGGAGCTTGCCATGGTTGACAAAATTTGCCATTCGCCTATAAGGTGTTTGATGAAATGACTCAATGAATTTTCACTCACCCTTTTGAGATTCTGTCTCTTGGGCTTCACTTTGATGCTTTTTGTTGATTGTTTGCTCACATTCGTTTGTGGGTTTTAAGTTTCATGAAAAGATGCCTTGCTCAACATATTGCTAGAACTAAAAATGCACGATGTTTTGTTGTGGGACTTGTTAAGATTGAAGCCTACGTTAAGCTTGAATGATTTATTAGTGATTTTCAAATAGAGTATGAACAACATTAGTTGCTGTGGTAAAACTTGGATGACCGGTATTGTTTATAGCTTCATTTGAGAAGTTAAAGAAAAACTGAGGTGCATAGGGATTAAGTTGACAAAGATAAATTATTTGTTGAGACGGTCACATTATGACTGATAATTTTTTATCATTAGATTTTACAAGAGAAGTAAATTCAATTGATATACAGTAGGTATGCAAAATCCTTAATCCACGTTCAACAATGAATACAAGACAACCATACTATACTATGACAACCTTGTTGAATAGTTTATTATCGATAAGACGTAAAGTGTACATGAAAAAAACTCGTCTTAATCATCACATTAGATCCGTGTTTCTTTTTTGTTTTTCTTCGTTCTTTTTCCATTTCATACGCCTCTTTAGAACAACTTTTCCAGCTCTCAATGTTCTAGAGAACCAAAAGATGGAAGGAGTGTAAACGGATAGAACTTTTCTCTATGTAACTTTTCCAGCTCTCAAGGTCCAAATCATGAGAAGACAAAAACAAAAGTTAATATGAGAGAAGGTTAATGATTATCAAGATGACAATGGAAGTGGATAATCATGGTCCCTTCCCCTCTGTGGGTCCCTACCGTTACAGAATACATTCAACCTTCATATCCAGTCAAATTATGGTAACCCAATAATCAGAAAGCTACAAGCAGCTAAGGTACCCACAGGTTTGTAGCTTATCTTCATCCTTTATAAACTATATTTACTTCATAACTCAATCAACAGAAGAAGAACAAGGAAGGGGGAAGAAGAAGACATGGAAAGACAGAAGAAGATTGTGAAGAAGACAAGGGTAATCAAAGTATGCTCAGAGGAATCATGGGATTGTTATGTTACAAAAGCTTTCAAACAAGGCTGCCCTGTGAGTCCCTCCCTTACTTTTCATATTTATACTCTTAGTTCAATGTTTGGTGAATTCAGTAATGTGGAAATGAATGTTATCCAAGGTATAAAGGTTGAAATGATGTTCATTTGGAATAATATTGCAGGTTGTAGTGCATTTTAGTGCTAGCTGGTGCACACCCTCAAGAGCCATGAGCCCTTTCTTTGAAGAGCTGGCCTTGCAATACAAATATGTTTTGTTTCTTTCCGTGGATGTAGATGAAGCTAAGGTAATTTTGATAATGGAAGCTAATGTGGATTATCTCTGATATTTAACTTCATCTTAGGCTCGAGTTTGTGTGGAGAAAATATGAAAAAGAATTAACCAAGTAGAAAATATGGTTTTTGATCGATGGGAGTTCTTGATGGTTGTTTGTGTAATGATAAGTCTTCTCGAGAGTTGATACATGTGAGATCTCATATTGGTTGAAGAGGAGAACAAAACATTATTTGTAAGAGTGTGAAGACCTGTCCCTAGCATACGTGTTTTAAACTTGTGAGGTTGACGGCGATACGTAACGGGTCAAAAACGAATAATATATGCTAATAGTGAGCTTGAGATGTTACAAATGATATCAGAACCAGACACCAGGCGGTGTGCCAGTGAGGACGCTGGACTCCCAAGGGGGGTGGATTGTGAGATCTCACATTGGCTGGAGAGGGGAATAAAACATTCTTTTTAAGGGTGTGGAAACCTCTCCCTAGTGAGCGTATTTTAAAACCGTGAGGCTGACGATGATACGTAACGGACCAAAGCGGACGATATTTTCTAGCCGTGAGCTTGGGTTATTACAATGTTATCAGAGCGAGACATCGGGCGGTGTGTCTACGAGGACGCTAGACCCCTAAGAGGAGTAGATTGTGAGATCCCATGTAGGTTGGAGAGGGAACATAGCATTCTTTATAAGAGTGTGGAAACCTCTCTTCTAGCAGTCGTGTTTTAAAACCGTGAGGCTGATGACGATATATAACGGGCCAAAGCAAACAATATCTACTTACAATTGGCTTAAACTGTTACAATATATAATATAACTTAGAAGTGATTGAGAATTCGTTCGATAATGTTTTCTTTGATCTGAAATTCTTTTATCACATAACTATAAACAGGAGGTAGCATCCAAGTTGGAGATAAAGGCCATGCCCACATTTGTATTGATGAAGAATGGAGCCCCAAACTATAAGCTTGTTGGAGCCAACCCAGTTGAGCTGAGTAAAAGGATCAAGGGCTTCACATATGGCTAAGTATCAAAAGACACTAAGAATCACATTTGCCTTCAGCCTTAAAACCATTCAACTTTTAAGTTCATATTTCTTCAATTCTTGGTGGTATTGTTATTGCCTCTTAGTTTTTGGAGAATGAATTACTTCCCACATAATATGATCCCAATAGGTTTGTATTTGGGGCATTTTCTTTTTAGTTCAACGTAATGGTTCGAGACCACATTCGAATGAGAGCGATTCTAAAGATAGAGTGACTAAGAAAAACTTAAAAGAATTGAAAGTCGCTCCCTATACTAACAAGCTTCACTTTCCTTTTTGGTGATTCAATCATAGGAACTTCGTGATTAAACATGTTTTACTTGAAACAATTTTATGTTGGTTGACTGTTGAATTCATGTGAGTAAGTAGAAAATATGTTGGAACGACTCGTGTTGGTCTGTGGTGATAGTTTTCATGTCGAGGAGTATAACTTGAGCTTGTTGCATATGAATCTTGAACTATTATAAATGTATAAATATGAACATAACTTAGAACACTACATACTAAACCGACATGAATGATGTTATACATGATGTTGATGTAATTTCCTTTATGTTATATTTTTAGTCTTAAGTGACTATAATATTTGAATATCTGACTTTTTAGTCAATGATATATATTTTAATTAGTTGAACTATGCTTAAGTTGACTATCATAAATATTAGTAAAAGTCAGGAACATATATTAAAATTCAAACAAGGGTGTCTCCGGCTCATTATAGCCACCGTCATTCATGTGGAGTCCCATCCCAATATCCGTTCATCGTCAATCACCTCAAACAAGAGAGAAAGAAAAGAAAGTTTAGAACTAAGAGCCCACGTTTTTTTCAACATAGTCCTACATTAATCTAATATAGTTCAAATGACTTAAAAAATTGTGTTGAAATGACTTAAAAAATGTTTTTTTCAACTCTTTCCTCTTAGATGTCGAGAATCATTGTGGGTGGTTGTAGTAGTTCTCGCTCATGAGAGTAGCGTTTAAAGCCCGTTTGTGGGTGCAGTTATAGTAGTTTTCGCTCGTGAAAGTAGCGTTTAAAGCCCGTTTGTGGGTGTGGTTATAGTAGTTTTCGCTCGTGAAAGTAGCGTTTAAAGCCCGTTTGTGGGTGCGGTTATAGTAGTTTTCGCTCGTGAAAGTAGCGTTTAAACCCCGTTTGTGGGTGCGGTTGTAGTAGTTGTCGCTAGTAAGAGTAGCGTTTAAAGCGTGTTTGTAGGTATGGTTGTAGTAGTTGCTGCCCTTAAGAGTAGTAAATATTTTGTAACTCATATGGTTGAGTATAGCTTCGATTAAAAGATTTTTTTTTTTTTTTTTTGCTATGTATTTGGATGACGTGTCTCTCCCACTGAATCCCAGTATGGCCGATCATCTGCCAGCAGTACCGCCAAATCCCTAATCTTCTACAAATTTTATCGTCCCCAATTTTCTCTCTTCAATCGCCCGAGCCCTAACCCTAACTCTGGTCCTGTAATTTTCCATCATTTATCATTCATCGTTTCTTCTAATTTTTCTGATGATCCCACGTTTTTTTGTAATTGTTCGAGAAATGGTATCCCCTGAAAATCCAAATTGGTTGTTTGATTATAGTTTCATCGACGACATCCCTGTACCGGATGCGAATTTTCCGGTCACGAGTTCAAGTTTCTCCTGGGCTGTTCAGCCCTTAAACGGCTCCCCTGATGCCGGGTAATCTTCAGATCCCTGTCAATTACTCGTTCGAGCTTGTTTTTATTTTATTATTGAACTTAAATTGGGTTTGCTGCATCGAATGTACTTTTATTTTGGGGGAAGACAATACTTTCTGGATTTTCGTGGGCATGCCAAAGTTGTTAAGAATCACAGATCTTATTATATTGTCCACTTTGAGCCTAAGTTCTAATGGCTTTGCTTTTGGGAACCAAAGGACTCGTACCAATGGAGATGTATTTCTTTACTTGAGCATTCCCTAAATTAGCCAACGAAAGTTGTTAAGAATCACAGATCTTATTATATATTGTCCCCTTTGAGCCTAAGCTCTAATGGCTTTGCTTTTGGGAACCAAAGGCCTCGTACCAATGGAGATGTATTCCTTTACTTATAAACCCATGATCATTCCTTAAATTAGCTAACGCGGGACTCACTCCTAACCATACTCAACAGAAGTATGGGCGGTGGACTGGCCCTTTTATTGCCGTCCAGAATAATTTTTGAGATTATTTCTTTTAAGCAAGATTTCAAACTTGTTTTGAACATTTTTATATGAGTTAGTAATTGGTTCATACGTCCTACTTATGACATGAAGATTGAGAGATTGTGGGGGAATGGTGTATAGATACTATACTTCTAATTCTGTTTGGTGAAGTATCACATCGTTGACTGAATTGATTTAGTATCCACGGGGTTGATAGGTGTAAACAATAAGGGACGTTGGGGGTATGACTATACCAAGAACTATTTTTTGTTGTGTTCTTGGAAACTGTAAGACTGTAAGGATGATGAGATAAGGATGTCATACCATTGTGCATCTTGGCTTCTATGTTTGTATATGCTCACTTCTTTCTCCTTTGATGTTATTCTAATGTGGAAATTGATGGATAATTGGCAGATTTGGATGGCCGTCTAGAATCTGGCTCAAAGAAGAGGTATGAAACCTTCATTATTACTTTCTAATCTGGTCTGTTTGGTAGAATCAGCCTTTTGCCTTGTAATAATATGCTTGGTTTGAATGTCTTTCCATAACAACAATCTGGGACTTGAGATCATTAGAAATATCTTAGGACTATTGCTGTTGTCACAAGTAGAGCTGCATGGTTTGAATGAATCATCAGACTTCAGGATTTCTTGGTGTTTTAATTGACTTTCAGGAAGCATTTTGATTAGTCATCACTTGTAATTTTGAGTTCCTTTAATTTAAATTCCCCAGAAATTTGTATCATGGTTATGTTTTAATGGGTTCAAAATTAGACGTACAGTGTCATGGTCGGTAGGGTGCTATTGCTTGTTTTATGACTGATGACAGCTCAAAACAAGCTGATCTGACAATTAGGGATTGGGGGTAATATAAGGGTGCTGTTGCTTGTTTTATGACTGATGGAATTTAAGCCTCTAATATTTTTGTTGAGATGCAAGGCATTTACCTCGTGCAGTGTCATGGTTGTATGCCTTGCGTGTGGGGGTCACAACCTACTTTCTCTAAGTGAGGTTGTGATACACAGCACACAGGATACCTGTTTCCTTATTGGTTGTGAGTTAACTGGAGAGCGGAGAGAATTTGGTTTGGTTGGGAGTTAGCGATATAGCTTTGTTTGGTTGGGAGTTAGCGATATAGCTTTGATCCTTCATTCAATCAGATCCTTCGATCAATCCACCGATTGTTTTTGGTTTCTATTGTAATTATTATATTGCATACAGTTGAAAGTTTCAAGTTGGTATTGCTTATGATTTAGTAAAAGGCTGTGGATCCATTTGTTTACTTTCATGTATGTTCTCCGAGGTGAAATTTGGCTAAACATGTTTAAATATATTGAGCTGATTTAAGCAAGCCTAGATAGAGCAATAATAACAGAACAGAAATTAGAAGTGGAAAGAGAGATCTAATATGGCATCAAATGAAGTACACGTTTTCTGCTGCAGGGTGAGATCTGAATCATGTAGTGCATCAAGCTCCAAAGCATGTAGGGAGAAATTTCGGAGGGATAGGCTCAATGACAGGTACTTCCCCTGACCCGAACCAATGGGCAATCATGGCACATTTGTCCGTTCTTCTATATTTTTTACCATTATATGTTGTCCCAACAAAAGCATAATTCTTATGATGAATCTCATAACAGGTTTTTGGAACTAGGTTCAATTTTGGATCCTGGAAGACTACCCAAAACTGACAAGGCAGCGATTTTAGTCGATGCTGTTCGAATGGTGAATCAGTTGCGTAGTGAGGCTTGGAAACTGAAGGAATCAAATTCAAGTCTCCAGGAAAAGATTTAAAGAGTTGAAGGCAAGTCTCCATGGCATTTTTTTATGCATTTGCATGGAGAAACCGAAACTCGTGAATGATTATACAGTTTCCTTTCTTCCTATCTCGTGTAGGCCGAGAAGAATGAGCTTCACGACAGGAAAAGCAGAAGCTCAAGGCAGATAAGGAGCAGCTAGAGCAGCAAGTAAAGTCCATGCCTGCTCAACCTGGCTTCTTACCTCCTCCACCAATCCCCACATTTGCTTCTCAGGGTCAAGCTCCTGGCAATAAGCTAGTTCTTTTCGTTGGTTACCACCCAGGTGTTGCCATGTGGCAGTTCATGCCACCTGCTGCAGTAGACACGTCACAGGACCACGTACTCCGACCACCCGTCGCCTAACTCGGTGCAACTAAGGTTTGCCTGAGAAAAATCATTGGCAGCATCTGGTTGCTTGACTAATATACTAGTATTTTTTTAGTAAGGCTGTCGATTGATTTGGGGTTGGCTATCTATTTGTCGTTGGACACTTGAAAGAACTCAAAGCCGTTTTGAGTTTTACAATTGTAAATGCATACAAAGAATTGATCATAAAAAGTAGATTATAAAGCGAAAATAGTGTTTATAAGCTTAATTTTCAAAAAACTAAAAACAAAATACAAATGGTCATCAAAATATTAATAAAATTCTAAGGTTATTTGCTTCCTCAAGCTATCCCCAAGTGTGCACAAGAGATTTGAAGCGAACATGTTACACTTACAAGGTTAGTAAGAACTTAGGGACAGTGCCTCTAATTTATTGGACCTACCAAACAAAGTGAGAATTCCTTGATCAAAGAGGAGAGTAGTTTAGTTTTGTGCATACTCTTGGAATATACTACAGCCTGAGGTGGATCCCTAACTCTTTGAAATATACTACAGCTCCAGGTGGCTGGCAAAGAGTTGATATCGAGGTGCCAAACTTTTCCATTGATGTGAGCTCTTGGAGAAGATCAACATGTTATCCATAGAATAATTTTTATCCGTTAAGCGACAGTAGTCATTTGAAAGGAGAAGCCACTGGAAACCCTATGCACTCTAAACCTTTTTCATGAGTAATTTGCCACTGGAAACCCTATGCACTCTAAACCTTTTTCATGAGTAATTTGTTGAAAGGAGAAGCCACTTGATCCCTACGCACTCTAAACCTTTTTCATGAAGGCAATTTGTTGAAAGAAACCTCCGATAGGTCCTTAGTGACTAAAATGTATGCGAGGGTG